AAGAAAGTCGATATATAAATGAAAAAACCTTTTCATTCACATGGATCCATTCATTCGCATCGATTTATTCATCTAACCATGTAAACCTTGTGCGATTACTCCTCCACCACGACTATTAGCAGGAGCAGTTGTAAACCCTGTGAGACCTGAATTCAACGCGGCTGGACCAGCAGAACTGATTGGATAAGATGCAGAGAAACCAACGCAATGGAGATGCACGGCTGTAGTCTTGTGTTCCTCTAGCAATTAAATGAGATGATACTAATAATAATAATGATACTTGTAATATAATATAATGTAATAATAATCATTATAATAATAATAATCATAGTAATAATATACTGAAAATGAGAATTGTATACGCGAACTGACAAATATCCATCACCTTATACTTATTGTCCGCTGTCTCTTAAGTCACGATGCCATGTAGTCATCGCCATCCTTGGCTGGGCTGGGCTGTAAAGTGATGAATTCGCCATCGAGATTTCCTGTTAATATTTAGAATGCTAAAAGATGTTCATACACCACACGTTGATGAGGAGTTCCAATAACACATGACACAGGTTTAAGTAAATTATTATTAATATTACTACAAAAATAATAATTATTATTATTAATATTATTTTCAAAATACTTACCGAGTGGGTGGGTAATTTGTCAATAATATTCAGGGACTCATAATCACTGGAAGGCAACAAGCCAGCTTTGATGGACGCGAGAGACAGACAGCTGGGCTGGGCTGGCTGGCTGGCTGGCTGGCTGGCTGACTTTCATCGAAAGCAACAACAAGTATTCCAAAAAATATAAGTAAGAATTATTTCAGGATTTCAGCATGAGCTGACATTAGTTAGAGAACCATTGGAAAACCTGGGAGTACTGTACAGCTGTTTCGTCCTAGTTTGGGACTCTTCATCAGTACGCACCCACCGGGATTCGAACCCTGGTAAAATACTTGTCGGCTGGATACACTTGTCGATTTGCAGAGAGCAGAGCAGGGCAGAGGAGATGAATAATGCCAGCCAGCCAGCCAGTTAGCAGGAATCAAATGACTCAAAATGATGAATACCAAGCATTGAATTAGACTTATAACAACATGGAATTGGGGCTATGAAGTCATCAAATAAATAAATGAATAAATAGAAATCTAGATCTTGTTGTTTGATGCAATCAACCGAAATCCTCAAAGTCATATGTCTTTACATCCACTATATAGAATATATAAGACAGAGAAAAGAGTACTTACTACTTACCTCTCCGTCAGGTCGAGTGTGGTGGTTATAACCAGGCGTCGTTGTTAGTGTCTTCATTCTCCTGCATTATATACACATACTTTGACGACAGCGTCTTGAAATGACGAAATTGGGGAAATATAACAAAGGTGGTGTATTATCCATTCATCCATCCATCGATCCATATCTTTGCAACTCTTCCTCCTTGGAGGACAGTTGCATTCACATTTCCAAAAATCCAAATCACTAAAAGCTGTCTGCATCCTGTAACCGTTGTTCGACGAAGGTTCTGTAAAATCTGGACCAGCTTTATCCATCCACCAAGGCGTCATTATCCATGCAGTTTACCAGAAAAGACAAAGCATCTTCTTCCAACTAGCTGCATAATTTTCAATATCCACCAGTCGAACTCCACATTATCTGTCTGAGTTGTTTTCATCCACCTCCTCCTCCTGATGACGGTGATGATGATGATGATACTGCGAATAAAATTGGACAATTAGTCTACACCAAAAATACCACTGGGTCGCGCGCTCGCTCGCTCGCTCACCTGCATGCTAGTTAAATTCTGTAATAATGGTCTTTCAATGTAAACACCACCGCTTATATACCTCTCGCTCTCTCTCTAGCCAAACACATAATCACGCCCACCCCCACGCCACCCCAATACACCACGCCACGTTTCCCCCGCCCCATTTGTTTCGTTTGTATTAGCTAGCTAGTTAGCTACTCAGTTAGGTTTGCATATATGTGATGACCTGATGTGATGTGATGTGACGGTGGTCGGTAGTGGTGGTGGTGGTGGTGGTGGAGGTGGTGTGCAAATGAAACCGACATCTATTAACAAACAGTATTTTACCCATTATACATATATATGACAAGTATCCTATTTCAACTATTTGTGACATTTCAATTTCCCCCAACCCACCCCACCCCACCCCACCCCCAACACACACACACACTCAATTTGATTCGTTTTAATTTTTAGCGAAATACAATCTAAATTCTTCGTTACATTTCATCCATTCATTCATTCATCCCTTCATTCATTCACTCGTGACAGGTATTACCCAAGTGTGTTTTCACCTGTAGTTGTAGTAGTAGTAGTACTGGTAATATGTACCCAAAATTTTGATCCACTAATATCTTTTTGTATTTTGGTGTTCTGTTTTGTTTTCAGTAATCGGCTTGTCATCATCATCATCATCATCAGGATCAAGATCAGGCGGCTAAGTGAAACCTTATCACCATCATCATCATCATCATCAAATATGGTTAAACGTAAATTGTGACAAGTATAATCTACACATAATAGAAGTGCATATATATTCATAATGGTGAGTGCCTTAAACGACGACATATCTGTTTGTCTGCTGTCTGATAATAATAATAATTAATAATTTTTCCTTCACGTTCCCAGTGGAACATAGGGCTCCAAGCTAGTGGCTTGAAGTTTCTGTAGCAGTGATTAATTTTTACAGGATGGGGTTGCTAGCCTCATGCCCAACCTTTCCTCTTTACCAGCATTATTTCTGGCTCAGTGAGGTAAAGGAGTGCGCCGGCCGGGGATCGAACCCCGAACCATATGCATGGTCGGCGAGCGTCCTAACCGCTATACCACCGACGCACTCTGCTGTCTGATATGTTGTTCTATTTCTCATGATAAATTGTTTTTGCATTGGTTTTACATTTTCAACCTCATGTATAACTGAACTGAACTGAATTGTTGTCATTAAATTTCGTAACATTTTACTGACGAGATATATGATGTATTTTATTCCTAACTAAACTACACTACACTACACTACACTACATTAACCCCGCCACCCCACCTCACCCCACCCTCTATTTGATTTGTAAATTTATTTTTAGCTTTGTATCTGTATTTCAGATTTCATAATAATAATAATAATAATAATTAACTACTAATCACCCACCAGCCTGCCTCTCCGTCTGTGACAGTTATTTGTCATCCCTCCCTCCCTCCATCTCTCTCTCCCCACCAGGATGGGTGTACTGCAATTAATCCTTGTAGTAGTTGTAGTAGTAGTAGTAGTAGTAGTAGTAGTAGTAGTAGTAGTAGTAGTAGTAGTAGTAGTTGTAGTAGTAGTAGTAGTAGTAGTAGTAGTAGTAGTAGTAGTAGTAGTAGTTGTAGTAGTAGTAGTAGTAGTAGTAGTAGTAGTAGTAGTAGTAGTAGTAGTAGTAGTAGTAGTAGTAGTAGTAGTAGTAGTAGTAGTAGTAGTAGTAGTAGTAGTAGTAGTAGTAGTAGTAGTAGTAGTAGTAGTAGTAGTAGTAGTAGTAGTAGTAGTAGTAGTAGTAGTAGTAGTAGTAGTAGTAGTAGTAGTAGTAGTAGTAGTAGTAGTAGTAGTAGTAGTAGTAGTAGTAGTAGTTGTAGTAGTAGTAGTAGTAGTAGTAGTAGTAGTAGTAGTAGTAGTAGTAGTAGTAGTAGTAGTAGTAGTAGTAGTAGTAGTAGTAGTAGTAGTAGTAGTAGTAGTAGTAGTAGTAGTAGTAGTAGTAGTAGTAGTAGTAGTAGTAGTAGTAGTAGTAGTAGTAGTAGTAGTAGTAGTAGTAGTAGTAGTAGTAGTAGTAGTAGTAGTAGTAGTAGTAGTAGTAGTAGTAGTAGTAGTAGTAGTAGTAGTAGTAGTAGTAGTAGTAGTAGTAGTAGTAGTAGTAGTAGTAGTAGTAGTAGTAGTAGTAGTAGTAGTAGTAGTAGTAGTAGTAGTAGTAGTAGTAGTAGTAGTGTAACAACAGAAGACAAGGGCCAGGCAACAGATCGTTTTATTATGAAAATCAACACGTATTTATACATCTTTCAACTACATTATTATAGACAAGCGCAGTCATCTGATTGGTTGTTTAGGTAGAGAAACGCAGGCTTCTGATTGGTTGTTTCGGGATTCCTTGACAAATAGAGTTCTCTCTGCGAATCATATTCTGCCACGTTAACTTTGCTGTGATTGGTTGTTGACTCAGGCTTGTTCACGGCCCATATTAGTGACCTAGACCTTAACGTAGATTAGTGCCAACCAATCGGCTAGCAGCCTGCTCTCACCACACTCGTCCCCCCGTCAAATACGTGCGACTGCAGTCGGCTTGATCTACTTGGTGCAGGCGTCATCGTTGGCTTGTCTCGCTGTATCCATTTCTGGAGCTCGCTGACGTTCACGCGCCTCTCATTGTTCGCCATTGCGACTGTGTCTGCGTAACCCCATCTCGAAGTGACCATATATGGTCCTTCCCACTTTGGAAACTGTTTGCCTGACCCTGTCGAACATTCGTCCATACTTCGGCCCACACCTTCATATGCTGCTTTCGCCCGACCTCCCAGCAGCGTCTCAAGTAGCAGCTCCATCGCTGACAGATCTTGAACGCCACTCAACTGCGCAGAAGCCTTGAAGTCCTGCCCGAAGATCCATATGTCTCCATCAAAAACTGCAGGGTATAGGCTTTTCATTTTCGGTAGGCAGCGACACCAAATGTAACAACAGAAGACAAGGGCCAGGCAACAGATCGTTTTATTATGAAAATCAACACGTATTTATACATCTTTCAACTACATTATTATAGACAAGCGCAGTCATCTGATTGGTTGTTTAGGTAGAGAAACGCAGGCTTCTGATTGGTTGTTTCGGGATTCCTTGACAAATAGAGTTCTCTCTGCGAATCATATTCTGCCACGTTAACTTTGCTGTGATTGGTTGTTGACTCAGGCTTGTTCACGGCCCATATTAGTGACCTAGACCTTAACGTAGATTAGTGCCAACCAATCGGCTAGCAGCCTGCTCTCACCACAGTAGTAGTAGTAGTAGTAGTAGTAGTAGTAGTAGTAGTAGTAGTAGTAGTAGTAGTAGTAGTAGTAGTAGTAGTAGTAGTAGTAGTAGTAGTAGTAGTAGTAGTAGTAGTAGTAGTAGTAGTAGTAGTAGTAGTAGTAGTAGTAGTAGTAGTAGTAGTAGTAGTAGTAGTAGTAGTAGTAGTAGTAGTAGTAGTAGTAGTAGTAGTAGTAGTAGTAGTAGTAGTAGTAGTAGTAGTAGTAGTAGTAGTAGTAGTAGTAGTAGTAGTAGTAGTAGTAGTAGTAGTAGTAGTAGTAGTAGTAGTAGTAGTAGTAGTAGTAGTAGTAGTAGTAGTAGTAGTAGTAGTAGTAGTAGTAGTAGTAGTAGTAGTAGTAGTAGTAGTAGTAGTAGTAGTAGTAGTAGTAGTAGTAGTAGTAGTAGTAGTAGTGTAACAACAGAAGACAAGGGCCAGGCAACAGATCCTTTTTATTATGAAAATCAACACGTATTTATACATATTTCAGACAACATTATTATAGACAAGCGCAGTCATCTGATTGGTTGTTTAGGTAGACAAACGCAGGCTTCTGATTGGTTGTTTCGGGATTCCTTGACAAATAGAGTTCTCTCTGCGAATCATATTCTGCCACGTTAACTTTGCTGTGATTGGTTGTTGACTCAGGCTTGTTCATATTCTCTCACGGCCCATATTAGTGACCTAGACCTTAACGTAGATTAGTGCCAACCAATCGGCTAGCAGCCTGCTCTCACCACACTCGTCCCCCGTCAAATACGTGTGACTGAAGTCGGCTTGATCTACTTGGTGCAGGCGTCATCGTTGGCTTGTCTCGCTGTATCCATTTCTGGAGCTCGCTGACGTTCACGCGCCTCTCATTGTTCGCCATTGCGACTGTGTCTGCGTAACCCCATCTCGAAGTGACCATATATGGTCCTTCCCACTTTGGAAACTGTTTGCCTGACCCTGTCGAACATTCGTCCATACTTCGGCCCACACCTTCATATGCTGCTTTCGCCCGACCTCCCAGCAGCGTCTCAAGTAGCAGCTCCATCGCTGACAGATCTTGAACGCCACTCAACTGCGCAGAAGCCTTGAAGTCCTGCCCGAAGATCCATATGTCTCCATCAAAAACTGCAGGGTATAGGCTTTTCATTTGTCGGTAGGCAGCGACACCAAATGTAACAACAGAAGACAAGGGCCAGGCAACAGATCCTTTTTATTATGAAAATCAACACGTATTTATACATATTTCAGACAACATTATTATAGACAAGCGCAGTCATCTGATTGGTTGTTTAGGTAGACAAACGCAGGCTTCTGATTGGTTGTTTCGGGATTCCTTGACAAATAGAGTTCTCTCTGCGAATCATATTCTGCCACGTTAACTTTGCTGTGATTGGTTGTTGACTCAGGCTTGTTCATATTCTCTCACGGCCCATATTAGTGACCTAGACCTTAACGTAGATTAGTGCCAACCAATCGGCTAGCAGCCTGCTCTCACCACAGTAGTAGTAGTAGTAGTAGTAGTAGTAGTAGTAGTAGTAGTAGTAGTAGTAGTAGTAGTAGTAGTAGTAGTAGTAGTAGTAGTAGTAGTAGTAGTAGTAGTAGTAGTAGTAGTAGTAGTAGTAGTAGTAGTAGTAGTAGTAGTAGTAGTAGTAGTAGTAGTAGTAGTAGTCTTATTTACCACCAACAGTTATCTGTGATCGCATCACACCTGTGATGATAAAAAAACTAATCTTATTCGTTCGATTAGACCAATAATCATGAAACATCATGTGTGTTTGTGTGTGTGCGTAATTCTCTGACTTGTCGACCAGCCTGTAGTCATTGCACTACCTATTTGATTACTAATATTATTCCCATAGAAGGATGGGGTTTGTAAGCGAGGATTAAATTTATTTTTACGAGTTTGACCACGCCACGCCACGACATGACAAGCCACGCTACGCACGGATTAGTATGAATCAGTTAGAGCATTGAAGCATTGGAAAATAACTGAGGGGTTCGGGAGTACTGGACAGCCAGCCAACCAGCCAGCCAGCTGTTTCGTCAGCCACCCTAGTTTGGGAATCATCTCCAGTACGCACCCACCACAGTCCCATGGTTCGAACCCAAGACCTTCCGGTTACAAGCAAGGCAAGCTCGCTGGTTGGCTGGCTGGCTGGCTGACTCGTATATCATTCAGTCACCACTCTTTTGGATCCAACCAAACCACTACAATGGAAACCCAACGCATGAATTCTAACTTCCACCAATCAATTTATGATGGATGCATTTACCACGACTGGCGCCACCAACCAATCAGTGATCATCGGTGGGAAATCCATCCTCGAACAGTTCACTGGACTGGACTGGACTGCACTGCACTGAACTTGTTGGACCTCACCGTGTAAGACTAACTGACTAACAACATATATGCTGGTGATGGATTAATTGCTGGCTGGCTGGCTGGCTGAGTGCTGGGTAGGTCTCTCTGTCTATCTCTCTGTTTGTCTGTCTACTTGAATTGACTTACTAACATTATGCCCAATTATATAATTATCCTTGCACTAACTAGCCTTACATTCCGATTTCTCAGTATTCACTGCACACACTCACTCACTCATTCACTCACTGACTTGTTAAGCATTCTGCAATGCTTGTTTTGTTTTATTTCAGCACCAAAGGTATTATTATTATTAGTTAATTAATTAATATGATTATCCTACTGCATCATAAATACAATTACAGAAATGAAAATACTTCATTGGAATGAAGCAGCCAGCCAGCTAGCTTACATCTATCTCATAATAATCTCATAGAAGGAAGGCATAATAGGGCACAATGATCAACTCTTTAAATATACAGGCATCTATCTATCCATCTATCCATCTATCTATCTGTGTCAATTTATCGATCAATCCGGTCAGTCAGTCAGTCAGGCAGTCATTTTGAACATATTGATTTTTCTTTTTGTCATTAGTCATCATCTAAATGCCTTGTATAATATAATATAATATAATTAATTATTATTCCTTACTTACTTACTTACTTAATTCATTCATTCAATTATTCATTGCCTCCTCCTGCCTTCTTTGATTGAAGAAGTAAATTGAAGAAGAACTTATTATTATTATTTATTAGTATTCGTCTTGAGCTACCTATCTATCTGTCTATCTGTCTATGAGTTAGAGAGCTGAAGAAGCCTTGTAAAACCAGTTGGGTGGATATGGGGGAGGGGAGTATTGAAGAGTCAGTTGTTTCGTCAGCCTAGCTAATTCAGAGCACTTACTTCAGTAGCACGCTTGCTTGCCTTGTAACCAACCAGAAGGTGGTTGGGTGCTGGCTGGATTCGAGCCAGCCCTGGCGGTTTACACACAATGATAAGTTCATATTGGTTTTTGGTCGAAGTATAAAGCACACACACACACAGAGTTGGTGTGATGATCTCAGGTAGTAGTAGTTTGGCTCAAAATATACTTTCTATAGTTTGGTTTGTAAGGATTAGTTATGTTTTACGAGTTGATCACGGATTGATATCAGTTAGAGAACCATTGAAAACCAGGGAGTACTGGACAGCTGCTGTTTCATCCTAGTTTGGGAATCATCGGCAGTACGCACCCACTGGGTTTCGAACCCAGGACCTTCCGGTTACAAGGCAAGCTCGTATACCATTCAGCCACTGGAACCCGATTCAATGGCTCGTGAATTCTAACTTCTACCAATTCGTGATTTAGCGCGACCCCAACCATTGTCGTTGGTGGGACATCCATCCACACACGTGACATCTAATTGGACCTCACTGGTCACGACTTCTCACTAGAACTCAGGAAACTCCAACCTGTAGCAAGTCACTAGCGAGCATCAGATTAACTTTCTATAGTTTGGTTTGTAAGGATTAGTTATGTTTTACGAGTTGATCACGGATTGATATCAGTTAGAGAACCATTGAAAACCAGGGAGTACTGGACAGCTGCTGTTTCATCCTAGTTTGGGAATCATCGGCAGTACGCACCCACTGGGTTTCGAACCCAGGACCTTCCGGTTACAAGGCAAGCTCGTATACCATTCAGCCACTGGAACCCGATTCAATGGCTCGTGAATTCTAACTTCTACCAATTCGTGATTTAGCGCGACCCCAACCATTGTCGTTGGTGGGACATCCATCCACACACGTGACATCTAATTGGACCTCACTGGTCACGACTTCTCACTAGAACTCAGGAAACTCCAACCTGTAGCAAGTCACTAGCGAGCATCAGATTAACTTTCTATAGTTTGGTTTGTAAGGATTAGTTATGTTTTACGAGTTGATCACGGATTGATATCAGTTAGAGAACCATTGAAAACCAGGGAGTACTGGACAGCTGCTGTTTCATCCTAGTTTGGGAATCATCGGCAGTACGCACCCACTGGGTTTCGAACCCAGGACCTTCCGGTTACAAGGCAAGCTCGTATACCATTCAGCCACTGGAACCCGATTCAATGGCTCGTGAATTCTAACTTCTACCAATTCGTGATTTAGCGCGACCCCAACCATTGTCGTTGGTGGGACATCCATCCACACACGTGACATCTAATTGGACCTCACTGGTCACGACTTCTCACTAGAACTCAGGAAACTCCAACCTGTAGCAAGTCACTAGCGAGCATCAGATTAACTTTCTATAGTTTGGTTTGTAAGGATTAGTTATGTTTTACGAGTTGATCACGGATTGATATCAGTTAGAGAACCATTGAAAACCAGGGAGTACTGGACAGCTGCTGTTTCATCCTAGTTTGGGAATCATCGGCAGTACGCACCCACTGGGTTTCGAACCCAGGACCTTCCGGTTACAAGGCAAGCTCGTATACCATTCAGCCACTGGAACCCGATTCAATGGCTCGTGAATTCTAACTTCTACCAATTCGTGATTTAGCGCGACCCCAACCATTGTCGTTGGTGGGACATCCATCCACACACGTGACATCTAATTGGACCTCACTGGTCACGACTTCTCACTAGAACTCAGGAAACTCCAACCTGTAGCAAGTCACTAGCGAGCATCAGATTAACTTTCTATAGTTTGGTTTGTAAGGATTAGTTATGTTTTACGAGTTGATCACGGATTGATATCAGTTAGAGAACCATTGAAAACCAGGGAGTACTGGACAGCTGCTGTTTCATCCTAGTTTGGGAATCATCGGCAGTACGCACCCACTGGGTTTCGAACCCAGGACCTTCCGGTTACAAGGCAAGCTCGTATACCATTCAGCCACTGGAACCCGATTCAATGGCTCGTGAATTCTAACTTCTACCAATTCGTGATTTAGCGCGACCCCAACCATTGTCGTTGGTGGGACATCCATCCACACACGTGACATCTAATTGGACCTCACTGGTCACGACTTCTCACTAGAACTCAGGAAACTCCAACCTGTAGCAAGTCACTAGCGAGCATCAGATTAACTTTCTATAGTTTGGTTTGTAAGGATTAGTTATGTTTTACGAGTTGATCACGGATTGATATCAGTTAGAG